AATAAAAAAGCTGGGGTAGCAATACTTATACCAGATGAAATAGGCTATAAAACAAAGGCTATAACAAGAGACGAAGAAGGGCCCAGTATTTCCACTTCTGGGTATTTACCTGAAGAAACCCAAAACACTAATTCGAAAAGACATATTCATCCATATGTTCATTGCAGCATTATTTGCCACAGGCAAGATATGGAAGCAACCTAAGTGTCCATCAATAGAAGATAGATAAAGAAGTGATATGTATATGTGTGTGTGTACATACATACAATGGAATATTACTCAGCCATAAAAAAATTGAAATATTTCCATCTGCAACAACATGGACGGACCTAGAAGGTATTATGCTAAGTGAAATAAGTCAGAGAAAGACAAATACTATATGATTTCACTTATATGTGGAATTTAAAAAAAGAAATGAACAAACAAAACAGAAACTCATAGATGCAGAGAACATTTTGATAGTTGCCAGATGGGTGGGGGTAGAGAGTGGGTGCAAAAGGGGAGGGGATTAAGAAGTACAAATTGAGAGAGGGAAAAAATGGCATAGATGATAGAGGCTCTGTTCATCCCTCTGGCAACCAAATCAAAGTTGCAATGGAAATAAGGAGCAAACAGCAAGGAAAAATCGCCTGGGATCTAGATGAACAAGCCATACAACTACGGAGAAATCCAAGAATTCACCCTGCAATGGCAGAAGGTAGGACGGGGGAAGGATGCAGGGCTGCCCAGTCTGGAACTGCTGAGTGAGATGGAGGCTGCAGTTGCAGCAGCAGCAGCTGCAGCATCAGCAGCGGCAGCGGCAGACGCCACTTAAAGGGGCCGCATCCGGGAGTAGACTTTCCCAGTGACGGATTTGCTTGCTCTGAGCACCAATGCCAATTCGGCTGCGCACAGGGCGCACCAGGGACTTACAGGGAGACATTGTTGTTGTGAGGGCCAAGGTGAGACTTGCTCTGTACAGAAGTGCTGTGTCCCAGTGTGTGGACACAGCACCGCCATAGCTGAGATGTCATCAAACTGGATAACAGAGGTCGCTCAGCCCAGAGGATTCCCCGTAACCCCGCCCCACCAACTCATGGCCCCACCCAAGCCACATCTAGGTATATCCTCAGCGAGTCAGGTGCTCCTTGCTGAGCAGTGGCTAGACTCACACTGGAGCCAGCTGGCCTCGGTGTCTGTTGTGTCTTTTTGAGGCAGCTCTAAGTACAGCACCTGTGGATTGCTTGCTGAATCTTAACAGGTGGCCTCGGAGGGGTAGAAGCTTGGGCTAAATTTGGCCTGCAGCTGAACCCCTCTCAGGACTGTGCCACTGGACACCTACTTCACAAATCCACACTAATAAGACTGGGAGACTTAAGAACTTTGCTTAGTACATAGAAAAAGACATGGAAAGGCAGCCAACATGGGAAGACAAACAGAAACCATATGAGAGGAAAGAACAGAGATCCAGATATAATGGAGTCAAGTAATCTAACAGATGCAGAGTTAAAAACACTGGTTATAAAGATGCTTAATGAACTTTTGGGAAGTGTAGATAAATTCAGTGAGAACTTCAACAAAGAGATAAAAGACATAAAAATGGAAATAGAAATTATAAAAGAGAACCATCTGAAATGAAGAACACATCTGAAATGTGAAGTATATTAAATGGAATAAACAC